ACTGTAATATAGAGTCAATCATTTTCTCGATTCGGATTCAACCGGTGACTTGGGACACCATTAATCTCTCAAGTGACGACTCTGAATCTTTAAATAAAATTCCGTTTCGATTGTCCTTTAATTGAAAAAAACTCCTCTGCGCCCCTGCGGGCGCGGGTAAAAAGGAGGTGTGACAGCTTTGGCGACTCCGCTGGGGATCAGAGAACCCAGAACTTTTGGTTCAGGGTTCAGAATTCGAGCTTAGATAAACTGTTAGATTTGGCTTTATGTGATTTTTTTACATGTTCGGGCTTAATGTGCTAAATGATGCTTTTACCGCTTTGATATTATCTGAACTGTATATAAACTGCTACGAAACCCTTCTTTTCTCATCTTCGGGGATGTGCTCGCTGGTCGAGACTCTCTATTCTGTTAGTGTCATACCTTGAAATAAGAAAGAGGCTCGGACAAGTTACTAAGCCGGATGGCCTTTTGGTTCCCAGTACGTAGCCCCCTCCTCGACTCGAGTTGTCCGCTCGGGTACACAGTCTAGAACAAATACCCAGGTTATGAACCTAGAATAACTCAGCTTCATGCCGGATCCCTAGTAGGAACGTTTGTTTGCATCACGTGTATTTGACTTTGGAGGCTCAACACAAGGGTTGGGTCTGTCTAGGACAGGTGTACCAAAAATGAAAATGACCATCATGATGCATCTTACTTGCTACTTGTGCATTTATTTGCTTCGAACTTGCATGCTGACCGACTTTTGAATATTTTGAGGAAAGAGAAATAGCAGTATGAGGGTTAAAGAGAGCTAATCGCCTGTTTTGAAAAAACCAATGTCCAAATAGTGTCGAAACTCTGCCGAATTTTTTGAGAAAATGAAAAAAAAAAAGAAAAAACAAAAATATAGTTTTATCTGCCAATGAAAAGAGTCTGGTTTTCAAAAAGAAGTTTGTTTTATCGACCGAACTACGCCGGTTTGATTCTCACAGGGTGTGAGATACGTAGGCAACCCTCATCGGGTCCAACCTCCCTTTTTTGCAAAAATAGCCAAAAATGTCAAACTTTTAATTTTCGTCATAAATAAGTCGGGTGATGCCGTTCTTGTCAAAAATAGCCGAATGTTCCCAAAAAGGGACACCGAAAGGCTGACTTTGCATAAACACCAACTTTGGTCATTTTTAAGGTTTTGACTGGTTAGCAAACACAACCTTTAAATTTCTTCGAAGTGCTGAAAAGCCGTATTGACAAAATCGGATATTTTATGAATTTTTTTTTTTAAAAAAAAGAAAAAAAAGAAAAGAAAAGAAAAGAAAAGGGAGTACTTTTCAGTCAGAGTCTGTTAGTCTATTTTTAAGTTGTATTGCCATTTTGATAACAATGTCTTTTAGAGTCCGTAAATATTGTAATGGGTCGTTTCAATAAACACATTTTTCGTTAATGGAAAATTTGAAAAAAAAGAAAATCAAAAATTTTATCAGTCATTTTGGCACTTATCTATCAGAACTACGCACGGTCTGATTCATGCGGGGACATGATACGTAGGCAATCCACATAAGATTCGACCACCATCAAAAAGAAAAAAAATATATACATATAGAAAAGAGAAAAAAGAGAAAACAAAGAAAATAAAGGAAGGATTGGGAGGCGTTCAAAAGGAGCACAATTATAAGAAGTCGGAATGATGCACGTAACTGAAGCAAATGCATGATAGAAAGGGTTAACTGTCTAGTTGCATTGCATCCTCAATGTGTGTTTTCCTATCTGTTGAAAACCCTAACGCTACCGGGTTGCTCCCATTTTGTTCTCTTTCAATCTCCAGAAAGGTGGTTGGTTGTGGTACTAAAGTAACGCTTCCCTGCAACACAAAGGCAAAAGACAATGGCAGAGAACAACAAAACTAAGTGGGTTGGTACCAATGCCCGAAAACAGCTGGTTGAATAGGACTACGGGTTGGTAGAAGAGGTAAAAATGTTGAGAC